GTGGTGTTGGGGTAATCTGTGTCACAGGAGCATGTGGTGACTCATTTTTCCAGGCCCATGGGAGTCACTAATTTGAACTGTTACCAGCTTATTTGGCAACACCCATGGAATGATATGGGAATGTGAAGCTAGGATATGACCCACTCCATATGGGAAGGACACAGAGCTGTCTCTGCAATTGACTGATTTGTTTGAGCTTCTGCATTGAAGTTCCTGGGTTCTCTGCATGTCATTTGTTCCCTTCCCTCAGTGTTTCTCACTGTTGCCAAATTGATAATCCTCAGTGATGTGGTGGAGCCACCAGTCCTGGTGACAGTGGAATTCTTCCCCTTTTTCATCATATTTGGTAGTACTAAAATATGCTTAATTGATAGTGGCTTGCCCAGTTACTCAGAAAGAGCTACCATGAGGTCCACCATTAAAGCTATCACTAGATCAGTTTGCATGGCCTTTACTAGCAGGAGTTTGCGTGAACTCAGTGGTACGAAACCCCAGGAAAAGAAGTTGAGCTCTGTAAGTGTGTTTGGATTGTCCTCCCTAGCTATATTCTTGGGACTGGTATTCAGTGATTGTTGCCTTACACACACAGCCAGAGGCTCCATGACAGCCTCCTCCCCCACCTTGCCATTTTCATACAGCTTTTGTCACTGGGCTACCCATGCTGAGCTCGCCTGGCATCGCCTCACACAAATGTCAACATTGGTGGACTGGCACCTCCAGATGGGAGCAATCCAAGGCAGACTGTACCAGCTCCCAGGGAGAAGCTCCTAGAAGAGTCTTGACATGTGCAGAGCCTCCCAGATGCCATTTTTGTCACTTTCAGATGCTGTTTCAACTTGGACTTGGGAAAATGGGCTTTGAAGGCATCTGAGGGAGTGTACTTCCAAGACAAGTAGACACAGCTGGTTAGTCACACCAAGATGCTCGTGAGTGTTTGATGCACAGAGAAGGTCTCTCCCTGTGGCCAATGTACACCTATTTCTGGTAAGGACTGGATCTCAGAGAGTGGGTGCATCCCAGCACACCCACACAGCTGGACCAAACTGACAGTCCAAGATTTTCCAGAGGGCAACTTGCAACTCGACAGCCGAAGTCTTCAGAAACTCCTTCCAGGTGGTGGGGCAGGAAGGAAGTGTGGCAGTACAGCCTTGTCCACTGTGCACTTCTCCCTCCCTCGCTCCCTCCCTCCCTTTCAGCCCTGTCCTTTCTCAATACCCAGGAAAGATTAACTCCTCTTCGCACACCAGAGAAAGTTATTATCATTAATGAAGAATTAAAAGAGAGTGATTAATAAAGGGCCCTTATCTGGCCATGAGGAGGAGGCTGGACAATGGAAGGAAGATGGAGAAAATGAAAAACAATAAATATGAAGCGTAAAAGGAGGCGAGCACTGCTCCCACTTGTTAGATCGCAGCTGCATCTCCTGAGGGGGGAAGGCTCCAAATTGCTAATTACTGCCTCTGAAAAGACCTCGCTCTGATATGTTTTCTGCTGAAAGGTTCCCATTAATGAAGCAGCGATGATGCCGTTTCCCTTTGACTTGCCTTCAATTCCCTCCCTGAGCTTCCTCCCAAGCCGGGAACAATGAGGCCCTGGGAGCTGGCGGCTCCCACAGGCCTCTCGGAGACTAGGCCGGGGGCAGCCGAGTGAGGGGAGCCGAGCCGGCTGTGAAATATGGAGGGGGGAGATAAGGCAAAGACAGAGGAAAGAGGCTCACTCCCAGGAGCCCAGGGAAAATTTGCAGTTATTATGAAGGAGATGAGACAGATTAAAAGCCCTTGTGTTCTGCGCTGCCCTTTTATTTAGTGGCTTCATCTCTGAGATGAAAGAAGTTGGAAATGACTTTCTCCGCATTTTGCTGCAAGAAGCTTCACGGCACATTTTTTGACTTTATTCCTCCCTTTGTCTCTTGTCCCCTTTCTGTCTCTCTTTTTCCTTTTAACCCCTGGAAGGTTTTGCTGTGAAATGTCATGGGACTAAGCAGAGCATTTGCTGGGGTAGAGCAATGACCCTGCTGCTCTCCCCATCCTACTGGGCTGTACGGCTCCCGCTGCCCACCGAGGAGGGAGCTGGGCCAAGGCATGGCCACGACAAGCAGAGAGCAGCCAGCCAAGCTTCCTCTCCTGCTTGCCTCAGAAATGTCCCTCACCACTATTACACCCTCTCCTGCCTCCAGGCCCAGCAGCAGTTCAGCACAGGTGACTGCAGCTTCTGGGCAGGAAAAAACCCCATCCTTACAAAGCCAAGTGATGGATAAGAATCCATGTGGGGTAAGAGTGCTGAACATTTTGTATCCCTGGAGCATTTAATGAGCAAAACTAGTGCTGAGAAGTTGGGACAGTTCTCATTCAGGCAACCTACAAAGTGCACAGAGAGTAAACAATTTGCCAGGGATGTGGGATGAAGTTGAATGCAGACAAGGATTCAAAATTAATTTTTGCTGACCCATGTCAGGGGTCAGGGCCTTGTAAGACTGGACAGAAATACAATAAACTGCTCAAAACCAGATTATCCCAGCTGCCTCGTTATATTTCTTGAACTCCTATTCCAAATTTTCTAATTTTTCTCCAGACACATCAGTGCTCCTTTGTGGTACCCTTTTAGTTCTTGGGACCCTTGCAATTGCAAGAGCACTTTCATCCTGTCTCTTGCTTTTGTCCTATCTCTCTCACAGAAAACCAATCCTCTGTGCCAGTATGTTGTCTTTACTCAGGCCAAATGCTGACAACATCTCAGAAATTTGAGTCTGAGTGTTGAATGTGGAAAAAAATAATGGACGGGTGAAGTAAAATTTATACCAGTTGCAAAACATTTTGTTGACCTACAGAAACACCAGAGAACTAGTTGGGAAATGAGGGGAAAACAAGAGAAATTAGAGTGGGCATCTGCTGTCATCTCCCCAGGACATCTGAATACAGGATTTCTTGTACACAATTGTTTGTCTGGTTTGTTATCCTTCCTGGAACAGCAGCCAGTATCGAGTGCTTGAAATGAAGGAGTAAGAAGCTCTGAAGTGATGTTTACAGAATAACCTTCCCATCAGGGGAGTTTCTCTCTAACCCAGACATTTTGTAGCTGTTTTATATCCTGAAGCATGAAAAAGGATTGCAGCGGTGAAACAGGATTAGATTTTAGGAGGGATTTTCTCTCAGATTTGAGAGTAAAAAGAAAACCCCTGTATTGGAAATAGGAAACTGGCAGGGAAAAAAAATGCTGCTAGCAAGTAGGGTGACTTACCACCCCAGAAAGGGTTAAAAAAACAAAAGGACAGAATTGTACAGGCAATTTGGTGCACATAAAGTAACTTTAATCAAGTCAGCTATTGGAAATGGGATTAAAAAAAAAATCTACCTAATGACTGCTTTTCTTCTTTTAATATTTCTTTTCCAAGGAAATAATAGAGAACTAGAAGGAAATTAAAATGTTAACATGACAGCTCAGACTGGCATAAAGGACTGGTTAGATAAACAGCATGAAGAAAGTTCAGCAAAGCTAAATGAAGCTTGTCCTATTGGGGTGTAGGAATCAATGGCAAACTCAAGGATTCAGTTATTTTTGAACTATCTTGACAAACTAGGGAGGGTGCCAGAGGACTGAGGAAGAGCAAACACAGCGCCAGTCTTTTGTGGTGGGAGCAGGGAGGCAGCAGTGGTCTTGGCAAATATCACCCTTTCAGAGTAACTTCTGTTCCTGGCAACGTGATGGAATAAACAGAAATGGGGGAAAAAAGTGAGAATACAAAGGATAAGAGATCTGTGAGCAATAGGCAGTAGTATACATTTCTAGAGAATAAATCACGTCTAAATAAATCTGATTACTTTATTTTGATTTGATTTACAAAATTAGTGAAGAGAATAACTCAAACATAATATAGATACGGACTCTGGCAAAAATTTCGATATGCTGCACTGTAAAATATTACATGAGAAACGAACCGGTATTAGCTTGAATGTGAGTGCAGCTACTTCAGTCAAGAAAACTCCGAACACCCTTCTGAAAAAAAAAAAAACCCACTAAAGAAAAAACCAAACCAAACCCAAACAAAAAACCCACTCCCAACCCCCACCCAAAACCAAACAAAAACCAAACGAACAAAACCCCCAAACAAATAAACAAACAATAACAACGAACCCCAAAAAAACACCCAAACAAAAAAACTCAGCAAAAAAATCCCTGAAAACAAAACAAAGCAAAACGACGACGAAAAAAACCCCACTCAACCCGCTGAAGAAGCATCACGAAAGCTGAGAAATAAACGGACTGCTATGCAAAACTAGGTGGTGGCAGGTTCACACCTCGCTTTATTCTGATGCCCGCTGGTGATGTGTAAGCTGGCATGATGGGAAAAGAGATGCAAGTCTTAAGGAGAGGGGAGCAGCGCTGTGAAGTTTAATTTAGGATGCACACAACCAGCGTGGCAGCAACGAAATTGAGGAGTTTGGGTACCAAGTTTATTTGTTGTCCATTAAAAATGAAATACGACAACCAACCAGCTAAAGGTTACGTATGGGCAAGGACTGCCCCGGCGGCAGGCGAGGGCTCTGCAATGGCTCCACTGGCAGCACCAGCCGCGGCGTACACACGCAGAGGAGCGCGGAGCACCGCGGCGGCTCGGGGGCGGGCCGGCGCTGGCCCGGCCGGGCCGTCAGGGCTCGGAGGCGGCGCGGCGGCCCCGCCCGCAGGCGGGGCGGGGGGGGGGAG